TTACCCCAGGGTCTAAGCCTTATATATAGCCACTAGACAGTTCTACCCGAATATCAGTAGGAACTCCGGTGGCCCATACCTGTCCCTACCGCAGATACAAGACCCCACCCAGTGACTAGATCCCCTCAGTCTGATAGTTGTGTAGTTCGCAATGTGTATACCCGAAGGCTGTGACACTGTGTGCTTCGTGTATCTATGTATGAAGATCTACGGAGAGCATTATGTGTGGAAACTTATGTAGCCCGTAGGCCATGTATAGTTCGCAAGCTATGTATATGCCCGAAGGCTGTGTGTGCTCTGTGAATCAATGTATCGAGATGTATCGGCAGCATCATGTGTGTATATCGAAGAGAGAACGGGGTAAGCTGCACAAGGACCCCCGCCAAGGTCCGAACCAAGCTCGAACCCGTGACCTTGAAACATGTAATCGTATGACTCTACCATCTCAACGACTAGTGGAAATGACACGAACGTGTGATATGCCAGACTGGGGAGATCAACAGAACACCCAAGACCAACACCCCCAAGCAACCCAATGGATGTGAAACCCAGAACCAACAAGGTCCAACATACAACATCATGAACAACTGAACCCTTGGGTGGTGCGCAGGCAGGGTCTGTAATAGTACCATGCATGCGTCAGCCCAAGGGAGTGTATGTCCAGCCGTGCGTCAATTTAACGCCCTGCCGGTGTCCATGCGCAAGGTTGCAATTGAGTTTTGAACCCGCAACCTCATACCACAATTCGCATTTCCATCCGGTGCTCTAACCACTGAGCCACCAAAAGTTGTTTGTATTGCAATTCTACACAGCATTTTTTTTTTCCAGATGTTTTTGGATTCTTTTAAATTTTAATTATATTTTTTATTTTTTTGTGCTGGGGCTGCCCGGGCCCATGCCCGAGGGTCATGCCCGGCCGGTCACTCGGTCGCCAAACCGGGCGTGACGTTGGGACCCGGGCGCCCGGAATATCTCCCTAGGTGGCAGTTAAAAAACAAAATTAAAAAAAAAATTACTACCTCTTACACCATCAGGGCGTGGTTCACTGCTACCGCTTTTTAAGAAGCCTCCGGAAGGGTTGACTGAAGCATGATGTGTACAATTTTTTTTCTTCCCCCTCCCCCCCTTTCTTGTAGTCTTTTGCAAGGGCGTATATTAGGCCCTTCAGCCCTTCCACTGGTTTAAAATTTTTCCTGTTTCTTTGAAATGTTGAGGACTCTAAACGATCATAAACTGGCGAAACAGCTGAAGGGTCCGAAACTACCGCCCACTCTCCGTATGCATAGTTTTGAGAGGGTGTGTTTTCATCGCATCACACAAAGAGCACATACTGTCTACACTCCAAACCAACACTGAAAATGGAGGCATATGCTAACTTTTATGCCCCAAACTTCCCAAAGATGTTTCAAACAAGGCTATTTTATAGATTCACTGGGACAAGGTATGCGGTTCCAGGGCTTCCATGTCTATAACTTCTCACAAACGCCGGTGGATGCCATACAGACTGAGTGCCATTATTGCACCCACATAATCGGGAGCCCAGTCATCATCGCTGTATCTAGACTAAAATTGCCCCAAATTCAGAGCTATAATGACTGGGCGTTCTCTTCCGGTGAAGACCGGCACATCATAGAGATCTATGGAACCAATGGCCGTGGCAACATACGCAACGGAACCAGCAAGCTTTTTGTCTGCCTGAAGACTAGCTTAGCATTTGGTTGGTGGTTTAGTTGTGTCCCAGGAGGACAAGTCAACTGTCAGTACACACCAAGAAAGCCCAGCCAATCATGGGTCCTGTGTGTTTTTCCTGCCGGGACCACACAGAATTTGGTAGGTGGTTTAGTATTGTCCCTCGTTTTGTCGCTTGCTCCTGCCACAATAAATATCAACACACACAAGCTGTCCTGCCCTCCTCTTCGTGTGGTCCTGTGTGTTTTTCATCACGTCTGCCATCTCGCCTATTTCAGCCGGTCTCCTCCAAACGAGGAAACACGTTTGACCGAATACGTCAGGAGGTAGTTGTGTTGTTTAAACCACCAGTACATCCCATCCTATACAAGGTGGATTTCCCCTGCGCGCCAAGCTTCGTAAAAAAAACCAGTGTGGTGTTGTTGTTTTCGTTTCGGCTGGTGCCACCAACCATATTGGTCCGGTTGGCCCGAGCCTCCACACTTTTTCGGATTGAGGCGATCGTTGTTCTCAAGTTGAATGGGGCCAAAAAAAAAATAAAAATAAAAAAATATATATATATCGTCAAATAGAACTGCCCGGTAAATATATAAAATTGTCTGGGGCCATGTAGTATGTACCATGTTGCTGTAACCGTCTCTTCTAAGGAAGTAACAGCATCGCTCCTTGTGCAGGGGGAAAATAGTCCAACGAGGGCATAATTGAACTAGACGGCAGAGCATGTTGGCCCCGCATCTGATCTCCTCCTCCTAGTTTGCTCTGAATTACTGCAAGGCCTGCCGATAGAGATAGTAGGAGTTGAGCCACTGGAAGGCCCCTTTTTGCCACAAAGCAAAACATTCAAAAAATCACCTGTCAACAGTAAAAGATAGTTAATCAATTGCCACAAAGCAAAATGTTGAAACATGGGTTAATGATAAAACATAACCATTTGTCATAGGAGCTGAAAGCGGGGGTCCCCGTTAACCGCTTGTGGAGACAGTGCTCTGCTGTCAAGCCTCACACTGGTGTTATGTCCCTGCTCAGAAAGCATGAACTTGATCGTAACATCGGTCAGGTTCGTGCTAACAATGGTGATTGACCCGAAATCATTAGCACTGAGAAACTAGGAAAACAAACGACGACTATCAAATTGTCAATGCAATAAAAGCAAACCACAACATCCCAGACCAGTGCAGAGTTTCTGCCATTCCCTGATCGATTGAAATTATTGCCAGAAAAACACGACTCCAAGAAACCAATTTAAAATTTGAATAGAGTTCTGTAGCTCTGTACCTGGGTGTTGCACTCGGCCGTTCCTTGCCAGACCCTGTGATGCATACTCCCTCGCTTTGCAAATTCTTCACATACCCTTCCCCCTTACCAAGGTTTGCATGGGAGGCACACCCAGCCTCGTTCGTCACCACACGGTGGACCAGACTAGAGGCCTCCGTCCATACTATCGACTGCCCGCGAACATAACTCACCCTGATAATGAATGTAGACAAGCTATATTTCCCGTCAGGTACAGCCAAAATGAGAGTGTGCGTTGTGTTCTCGGGAAGACAGTAGGGGGAGAAAAGGGCTTCGGCCTGCCTTTCCCTGGTGCTGTGGGCTTCCAGCGCTTGCTTGCGACCGGCTGTCGCAGGCTTTAAAACCATCACTACCTCGTGCAAGACAGGACCCACCCCCTGCAGAGAGGCAAAAGAAACCTTAGGCCAGCGTATTGTCAACAGAACGACGGAGAAAAGGGGAGGCCACTAGGCCCACTACCATGGCAGGGGTCGTTCAGAGCCAAGCCAACATCACTATGGTATTCCTTGGACGAGCAGAGCAAAATCAACACACCCTGTGACCCAGGGAATGCAAAACGAGTTCAGGAACTTCGGGGAGGAACACAACCCTACATTGGATAACATGCCTAAAGAGAAATATGGATTTCACTTGTGGTCACATTCAGTGCTATTGGACTCGTGTGACTCATGTGACGCGGAGCGAAAGCAGCCGACAGATCCAGATAGAACTCGGCATTTCGCCTCCCTTGCAAACAGATTCTACTATCTTGCAATGGCAAATAAAATTCATGGTTGGCACTGGAAGTATCAACCACATGCAAAACAGTGAAAACACACATTCAAATACAAACATGCCATCGTTCCACAGACTGCAGTGGAAGGACACAGGAAAACTGAACACCGCATGAGCGATGACACAACTGAACAGGCATGACAGAAGCAATGAGCTGGAAAAAAAAAAACATTTCCTTGCCTCATGCCATAACACAGCGGTTCCTTAACGAAGGCAACTCCGGATCGACAAAGAGCTTTCTTCGCTTTACATTTCAAGCAGAAGCTCATTCCTAGCCTCTCACATATCTCTCTACAAAAGGGTTGACGATATCGTAGGTAAACTGCTGTCTCATTCTTCGGTTGTATATAACACCTGTTCCGAGGCGAACCAGTGAGATTCTACTTCACTGTCTCACCTGCTTAGCATCATCAACGACGTCGACGGTCTCAAGGCCCTTCGGGAACACTGTCTTTCCAGTGCACAGCAGCTGACAACATGTCTACTCCTCCAGCGTTTCTTCGGCTTCCTTGCATGCATCATCGAGTATTTGCCGCAGCTCAGCCGCTCGTTTGCTTGCTGCCTCAATGCAATCCTGATGGCATGAACGACAATAAGACAGGAATTTAAGAGACAAAAGTTAAAACACAACGGCGTTACTGGATGCGAATGAGAAAAGAAACTTCAGGATCCATACATACCACGCGCACAAAAGATCTGGGTGTTAGTGGGATAAGCAAAAGCATCATGCACTGATGGCACTCAATATCTGGTTCTAAGTCACTACTCTATCGCTATGCACAATGGAAGACAGAAGGTAATGCTCCTCACATTAGCAGTCCTGACCCTCTATATATTGGCCAGCGGGGAGATGATGTTTGTGGAGGATTAACTGTCAGCTTGCAAGGATGACACAAATAATCAAGAAACGGTGCAAATTTTTGGAAGTAAAAAAAAAAGAACATAAGCCTCCTCCTCCTACTGCTGCTCCTCTCCCTCAGTCGTACAATACTTGACATCCTTTCACATGTAGAACGGAGAGGAGAAGCAGAGAGGGAAGACCCATGTCCAAAGCTTGCAGTTGTCTGAGCCTCACATGATATCGAGTGCTGAATTTTGTCCAAAGCATGTTTGTCTGCAACTTCACATGATATTCGGTGCTGAATTTTATGCAAAGGAGCACTTGCTCACCTTGCTATAACTGCTATGGTAATGTCCTTGTAGGCTGAGCTTGTGATTGTCTGAACCTTGCATGATATCGAGCACCGAATCTTACAACAGCGAACACTCGCTCACCTCGTTAGGGTTATGCAAATGGGTTCATAGCATACTTGCGGCGCATGGAGGTGCGCGCCTCAGCGCATGCCTGTTGCACCTCGCGAACTGCACCGCCCCGTGCACCCCATGCGGTGCACAGCGATAATTAAGGGTACCCCAAAAAAAAAAAAAAAAAAAAAAAAAGGGTTTCTAAAGTTCCTTTTTTTTTTTTTTTTTTTTTTAAATAAACAGGTCCTTATGGTCCCGGCTCCATTTCCATTCTGGGGAGCATCAGTCCGGTTCCTATTCCACCGGCAAGTCAGAAAACAAAATTACATCTTGAACACCCGCACGCTTCCTTCCGTCTGGCCGAAGGAACCCTGATCAGCATTGATTACTCCAGCATCATGGAGGATTGACTGTCAGCTTGCCCTGCTTCTCCCTTTCCTCTCAGGTCTACTGTAATAACCTGTCAGATAAACATGGATGGCAAGAAAGGGTTTCGAAAGTTCCTTAGCCCCTCCCCCTAGCAAAAATGAAAAAATGGCCGCGCAAAGTTGGAAACCAGTCTCGCGCTGGCCCCAAGTTTTTTTCTGTGGAAAAGGCCAAATTCTGCAGGCCTTTCCCCCCCCAAAACATTAGGGGCCAGCGCAGGGCCGGTTTCCAACTTCGCGCGGCCGTAGTGCTTGGTGTTGGCGACACGGACGGATGACGAACGAGGTCATTGGAACGACGACAGCGAAGGAGGAAGGAGGGACAACGAAGGACGAACGACGAGGGTCGATGAAGGAGGGAGGATGGACCAGGGAGGACAGCGATGAGGGACGAGGGATCACAGAGGACGGAGGAGGGAGGATCGAGGACGCTAGGGCGGGAGGCAGCAGGAGGACACAGTGTCAGGAGACAGTGGCAGCAGCAGGACTCAGGGAGGCAGCGGCAGGAGGCAGCGGCAGGAGAGACAGCAGCGGGCAGCCATGAAGGGTGGGTCACCACCAGCTGTCTCTCTCTCTCCCCTCATACACACACACAGGCAGGCAAGCACGCATGCCATCTCTCTCTCTCTCTCTCTCTCTCTCTCTCTCTCTCTCTCTCTCTCTCTCTCTCTCTCTCTCTCTCTCTCTCTCTCTCTCTCTCTGTGCAACTCCACCTCCACCTTTCCTCCATTCCAGATCCTTCCTCCCTCTGACTTTATCCATTGCCCCTCCCTACTGCCCCTTCATCTTCCGCCGCCGTCTTCCCCCTTTGGCATCTTTGTCCCCACCATAGTCTCCTCTCTCTGTCTCTCTCTGCCCCCCCACCCCAACCATCCCTCCTCCGCCTTTCTCAATCCAAGATCCTTCCTCCCTCCGCCTTTCTCCATCGCCCATCTTTCCTCCCTCCTCACTTCTCTATCCGTCCTCCGCCGGTGCCTTCACAGTCACCACCTCCTTGCTCCCTCGACAGGGAGTGTTACATGCACAGATATGTGATGTTTGTAATAACCGAGGAACTGCAATGTGACGAAAAGGACTGAAATGGACAATGCGGTGAGAGTAGAATCT